TAAAAGAATTTAAAGAGAAATTGAAGCTTTACGCGAAAATGAAAGGTAAACAGGCAAAGGGAAATGATGATGGAAATTATAAGAGCAGCAAACAGAGGAAGCAGGATAACAAAAGAGAAGAGCGGTGTTTTAACTGTGGANTTTAGTTATAATTTTACCAGAGGGACACCTGATTGATTAATGAAGTGCAAACCAACTTTTACAAATTTTTAAGTTTTGCGTACATAAAATATTTGTTACTTTGATGTAACTTAATGAAGAGATACTAATGAGTCTCACTACATTGCTTTTTGCTCGCATGAATGTAATTTGTTACGTTTATAAGATATGATATTAGAGGGACACTTTTTTTGCCCTTTTGAGAACGACCCATGTAGCAGTTGGTAACACTTGAAAATAGAAATTTGAATTGACAATTAGAAATTGTCAAAACACAAAATGTATTCACTTAAAAAAAATGTTTCATGTACACCTCGCAAAATAAGAGAAATTGCTCAAAGTTCAATGTCCTCATCATTTTGGACCTTGTATTCGATGCTAAGAACGTGTTTAAACATCCATAGACAAACATTGTCACATTGACAACTAGAAAAATTAATGACCCAATGTCACCACCTTGAACTGGTTTCATAAAATGTTACTAAAATCTCATTACAGCATCGGATGCTGTAAAGAGTGTCATTATAGCACCCGTTTGAGTACTGTAATAGCTTTCATTACCGTCGCGAATTACAAAAAGTACTTTACCTGCCGTATATGCGGCAGACAAAGTACTTTACCTGCCGCTAATTGCTGTCAATTTGAAAAAAATGCCGTTGAACAGCTAGATTTAAACCCCGTACTGTATGAAAGCGCACTTCCCTCTCCACTATAGTACCGACCTTTGATACATAGTGTAACTTTACCTAGGCGATGGCCAAATATAGGATTGGACTGTGGGATGAAGAGAGACTTCGCCTACTGTGGACCAGTTCTCCTGGAATGAGACCCGGGAATATTTTAGGACTTGCCCGTACCGTAGTAGCATAAAAGTTCTAATGGGTGTTTTTACTGGGCACTGCCGATTAAAAGCACACCTCAACTTGTTGGGTTTAGCCGACGATGTTGAATGCCGACTATGTGCGGAGGAAGCAGAGACGGTTGAGCATGTTTTATGCCACTGCCCTGCCGTTAACCGTATCAGATTCTCGATTTTTGGGTCGCAGTTTATCTCCTCAAAAGATCTGAATGACCTTTCGCCGAGCAAGGTATTAATGTTCGTTAAGAGCATTGGACTGCACGGTGAAATTTGATAACGATATCTATCGGGGTACAATAGATCCTTAGGGTCGCGGTGCAAGGTTGGTTGGTCCGCCTACCCGATATGTATTCTATGTAATGTAATGTAATGTAATGTACCTAGGTATATTAACAAAACAAATCGTTTGACACATGTCATAATATTGGTAAGTTAGAATATCTTCATATCGTTAAATTTTGCGGTTGGCGATAAAATGTTGTATGCAACACGATTATCGAACTCGCCTGTTGCTCACCTCGCTCGCTCGACTCGCAAACTCAGACTCGTTCGATAAAACATCACTTTGCCCACTTGGTACATAAATAAATATTTTCGTAGCCCATTATATTATGAAATCGTTACAAACAAAGATGAAAAATTCGCATACATTTTGGTTTTTGTACATACACGTGAGCAATAAACTTTCAAACCGTTCTCTGCAAAATAACAATTTTTGAGATATGAAGGGTACAGGGGAAGAACATACTAAGTCACAAAAATTCATTTTTTAGATTTTGGTGCCATCTGTTAGTGACGACATGACTCTAGCTTTGTATCAAGTCCATATAATGAAATATCAATCCTAGTCCATAGAAATCGGCTTTGAAATTTGAGTGTGCAACGAAAGAACATTCTAAGTCCACCGGACTCATCAAGCAGGCTTGCATAAATGTGACGTTTGCATCAGATTGTGTCAGTGTGACCATAGAAAAATTTATCTATATTATGTATATAGAAGGTCATCTCCCTACTATTTTTTGGTACAAACGCTCCCAAGGGGATTGTGAGGGAACTAATTAGGTTAAAGCGCGAAATTTAAATATAACCAATTTAAATATACCGGTTTATACTTTATTTTGAAGAGGTCAAGTGCATTTTCCAAATAAATAGGAAAAAATATGAATTTAAAGTTTTTCCAAGATAATATTCATAATTTTTAACGTACATTGCTCTTATTGGCAAAAAGCGCCAATTTATCTATTGGAAACTTATCAAGAGGTGGTAAAAGAGGCCCTAACTTATTTAAATACTTAACTAAAGGATATAAAATACTAAGCCAAAAGAACGTAAGGAAGAAAATTTGCTTATACAACAGGATTATCATCAATTATCGCACACTAAACGACAAAACAAAAATGTGACGTTTGCTTTCACCTCTGAGTGCCTCTGGGTTAGACGTTATACATAAATTTTTTTCTATGGTTACAAGCGCTGTGTTTGTGTAGATAATGCAGATTGCTGCAAATTCAGTTTACAACGTCATCCAGTGGATTGTGAGGGTACTAAATATCGGTCTAAATTTTTATAGTAGTAAGATTGCACAGCATGAGTGTGACAAGCTATTTTGTTGTAATGTGTTTATGCTTGAAGTTTTTATTTTCTTATTGACTTACTGATCGTGTTTAATGCAGTGTTAATAATGTGGAGTGAAGACGAAAATGAGACGTCTGTAAGTTTTGGACGAAATACAAAAAAAAGGAAAGTTACAGGAAGATTACGTTCTGCTAATAAGAGGTTACGTGTTGCTAGCCATGAGTGTGGTGACAGTTGCTCCTGCAAGCGTTTAAAATGTTTTAAAACAGTATCCGTTAAAGAAAGAGACGGTTTGTTAAAAGATTTTAATTTGCTGGGATCGAAAAACAATCAAAGTGCTTATTTAGCTGGCTTAATTTCAATTCATCAGATAAAACGTAGAAGACCACGAAAAAATGAAGCAGACAGTAACTTGCACAATCATGCATTTTGTTACAAAGTTAGATTGGTACGTGAAACAGGTGCGATTGAGGTTCCTATATGCAGGAAAGCATTTCTTTCAATTTTTAGGATAACTTCTCAGATCATAAGGACTATCCAACATTCACTCACAAACTGTCAGACCAAACAATAGAAAGAATTCATTCCCATATTCAGTCTCTAAAAGGCAGGAAATCACACTATAGCTTGCATGATTCCAAACGTTTATATTTACCTGATGATCTTTCGATTAAAAAATTGCACAATATGTACATTGATATAAATCCAGAAAGTCCCGTGTCATACGAATGTTACAGAAATATTTTTAATACCCAATATAATATTTCATTTGGGTATCCAAGAACAGACACCTGCTCGAACTGCGACGAATTCCAAGCTAAGGTGTCATGCCTTCAAAAAGAAAAAGAAAATTGTACACCAGAAGAGTGCATCGCAAAAGAAAAGGATATACGGAATTTAACCGTACTTAACGAGTTACATTTGAGAAAAGTTAAAATGTTTTATAAGAGGAAAAGATTAGCAAAGAAGAAAGCAAGAAAATCTGCCTCTTATGAATCCATCTGCATGAATTTTATGAAGAATCTACCGGTGCCTAATATTCCAACAAATGACGTATATTATAAACGTCAGTTGTCATTTTATATGTTCAATATCCATATTCTTTCTATCGCCGAATCTTACTTTTTCACATATGATCAGACCATTGCAAAAAAGGGGGCAGATGAGCACTTTTGCAAAAACATTTTGCCACCTGAAGTAAGACACCTTGATATATTTTGCGACAGTTGTGCCGGGCAAAATAAAAATTATACGCTATTCAGATCTCTTCATCACCTTGTTCATGACCTAGATCGTTTCGATACAGTTCAAGTTACGTTTCTAATTAGGGGACATAGTTACATGGAGTGTGACAAAAATATGGGCCTTATCAACACAAAAGTTAGAATTGAGCAGCCTTCACAGTGGAATGAACATGTACGAACATCACGCTCAAAACGTTTCCCATTTACAGTAATCGAATGCGATAGGAGCCTCTTTAAACATTGGAGTAAATACTTTTTGACCACGTCCTACAAAAAAAAAGCTTCTTTTCAGACCAGACCCATTATTGAGATTCTCTTTGAAAAACAACATCCACGGACAGTACAGTTACGGAAATCTTATTCTGGGAGCTGGGAATCTCACATTATACTGGACAAGAAGAAGCAGAAGACGAGTGTTGGACAGAACAGAAACCGAGAAGCAGAGGAAATAGAACTACTTTATGATACTAAGGGTATTTATTAAGACTAATCTGTTATACTTTCTTATTCAAACTAATTAATAGCATTATCTATATTTAAAAAGTTATAGAGTTTTGAACTTTAAACTTCGATTATCTCGCAACTTGACTTTTGTGACTTAGTATGTTTTTCCCCTGTACCCTTCATATGTCACTTTTCTTGTGTGCCGCCGATATTTTAAACGGCTTTTAAAGTTAATGAATTTGTTATATTGGTTGCATACTTTGTCGGGTACGATAATTAATTAACACACTGTATTTATTTTCATTTTTCTTTTGATTTAAATTATTGATTAATATAAAAGAATTACTTGATTTAAATCATTAATTAAAATCGTGTTTTAAACCAAGTCATTTAAATCGGGCGAACCCTGGTTATTAATTACCTTTTAATATACAGTGTGTTAATTAATTATCGTACCCAACGTCATCATTGCAAGTATGCAACCAATATCACACTGAATATATCTGAATACGCAAATCGCGTATTGCAATACTAATAATTAATTAACACATTGTATTTAGTGTCAAACTTTAACCGATTTCGTTGTTTCTGAAAAAGGTTGCAACATAGCATCCGAAAATTTCTAGTTCTAAGTCTAGTATTAGTTCTAGTGTTAGTTTTAGTTTAATTAACACCGGCCGTGAAAACATTCATACTTATACAATCAAAATTTATTCGTCTTACTTGCATTTATAGACTCTCCCCATCGTGCAAAAATGTCCTCTTAAACTCTCAGCTTCCGGCTCGCAAATCGCTTGGATTAATTTACAATACAATTTCGATTGGATCTTATCTTTCCGATCTTTGATGTCTTCAACTTCGGCGTTTGTGTACATAGCGGCTAATCGCGAGAGTACCGTATCGTTTAAACACGACATGCTCGTATTCGACCTCAAAATTTCGTTCATATTCTCGTGACAAAACCTTAAACATTCGTCGGTTAAAGGTTCCATTTGCAAAAAAGCGGCCGAAACCAACACTGGTACGGCACAATTCGCGTCCAATTTCGGTTTGTCTTTATCGTTTTTCACCCAATTCATCAACCACTCGAAAATTCCGATATCGCAATGCACGCTAATATCCATGTCTTCTAATTTTTGACCGGCCGTGACGTCAGCGAAGTACCCCATTTGTTGTACTAAAAGTTTTTGGTTACACACAAAATCCTTTTTGACGTTTTTGATTTCGTCGTGGACGTGAATTTCGACTTCCGAATCGGCTTTAATTGGTGTTAAAATTAATTTTGAGGTTAAACTTAAGGTGTCCATCGATTTGCTTTTTGATAATTTCTCGGGATTTTTTTCGAATTCTTGGTTAAAATTAACCGAGCATCCTTGCATCTTGGCGATCGATGATCTTCGTTGGATGTTGGATATATTTTGAGGCACCAAAAACGATAGTACGCTATCAAAGATTCCTTCTGATAATATTTCGCTTAATTTCCGTTTGATTTCGACCGATTCGTTGTTGCAAATTTCGAAATACTGTAGGGGCTGTTTCTTTTCGGTGGCGTTTACTTTTATATCTGACGTTTGTATTGCGATATCTTTCGGTTTAATCAAGTTATTTTGTTTCAATTCTAACCAATCGACGATTTCCGTGTGCCCTTCGTTCTTTAAGATGCCCTCGATGTTCTCTTGGACTTGATAAGCGGTTTTTAGGAAATCCAAAAATTCTTTTACCGTGATTTCGGAGGTTTCCGATTTTGGGGATTTGTTAAGGGATAATTTCCCTTTTAATGGTCTTTTTTCGGTTACGATTGCCGTCTCCATTTCAACTTCAAAATCTTATTACAAATTTGTGCGATTATCGATCAAACTTTCATTAAAATTTAGTAATAAAAAAAATATCAGAAACGTCATTTTCTTAACCCCCTTTTCTTTTTTTTATGACTAGAATCATTAAACTACTTGATTCTTTTATATATTATTATTAAATTAGGCATTTTTATTTTTAAAAATGGTAATAACTCATTTAAATTCTCTCCATATTTTTAGTTTGGTATTTACAAATTAGATGGCGCTAGGCGTCGATTAGTAAATAAACATTACATACTGTATAAGTATATAAGACCAAAGAAGTAACGGGATGAGCAGCCGGTGTGGCAGATGAGAGAATAAACCTCCTTTAATCTGTCCTAACCTTTCGTTATTTATTTATAACTTCATCACAGGGTGGCTATAAGTAGCGTTACCAACTCTCCTCTATTTCAGAGGAGTTTCCTCTATTTAACAGGCTATCTCCTCCCTTTTTCTCTATTTAAAAAAAAATATGCAATACGTAAACCAAAAAAAAACCTATGACCTGACGTCTGTCATTAATCATTAAGCGGTGGTTACCGAAACTCTCCATCAGAGGGAGTCTGGTGTTTTGAATGTGACTATCTGATGTTAACTTCACTCTTTACTGTTTTTAACTACTTATTGTGGTTTAAATGCATATACTAAATTTAATACAAAGTATAATAAAATTAAGATGAGTGACGAAGTAAAAGAAAATGATACAAATATAGACGAGAACCAGAAGATTAAAGCTCCCCCCACTAAGAAGCTGAAGTATAAATCTACTTATCGAAAAGAGTGGTTGTTGTGTATGTAATTGAATAACACTATTGTAATTTTAGAGGAATTTTAGATATAATCTGCTTTAATAATCACTCAATATATTACACAAGATCAACTTTAAAAATATGTGACAATGGTTGTAATGTACGGTTTCTTATGATGACTGTATTGCCGATAGTTGTGGACAACTTCATGTCGGTCGGTTTGTGGACTAACTGATAAGTGATAAACTAGGACGCTGTACCGCTTATTGAATATTTAACATTATCTCCCCGGTAACTCAAAGATTCGTTCTTTCTGGCGCCCTTCTTATTCTTTTAGATCGTCTTTGTACTATGGAACAATAGATGGCGTTACGGGTTTGTAAAAATCAACGACCTGGCAACGTCGCTCGCTTCGCTTCTCTCTGGATGGGCCATTGCTATGCTTTTATACACGTTCGTTTGTCACGGACATATACAGTAATCCCCGACTCCCTCTGTCCACGATCGTCCAATGTTTGTTTGTTGTCCAAACTCTGGAGTGTTTATGTTTCGTGCGCGAAGTAACCACAATGCAAAATAATAACTTTACTTGCAGTAAATCTATTTATCAATTAGTTTTAGCCCAATTTAAGGTGGCCGTTCAATTTACTTGGGTTCTAAAAACTGATAAAAAAATTTGTATAGTTCCTTCTCTGATTTGTAGAGGTCGCAAAGTGTTTGGTTTAGCATCTTTAAAATACAGATGTTTCGCTTCTACTGAAAAGTGAGACAGAAACACATCGACTATTGTATAGACGTGTTTTTATACCGCTACGACCGGCCGATTATTTGTCATCGTATTATGAAAAGTGTTGGTATAGAAAAATATATTAAGGCTGTAGTCTCAGGGCTGAAAATTTAATTCCAACAGAACGCGTTTACCGTTTGATATAGCCAAAATACTTTCAAATAAAAAATGCATAGAAAGACGAACTCTACGACCGCACGGTGAGATATTTAGATAATTGTTGATAATAACGTAGATAAAGAAGGGATTTAAGAAGAGTTTCGAAACCAAGTTCTTGGTGCCGTGGATAATAATTTTCCGGTTACTTTTTATGTCTGTTTATTATATTGCATCTTTTACGATCTTATCGTATTTTTCGACCATTTCGTATGAATAGCGTTTTTTGAACGGCTTTAAAATAAAATTATATAAGTAGGTGAAGCTTAATACTTAATAAATGTATAACTACTAAATTAGGCCCGCTATTGAACTACTAGTAGACAGTGATGGGCGTTGGGTAAATACCCGGCGGGTAGGTAT